CAAGGCGAGCAGCTATTCTACAGCCTCTTGTTCCCATAGGTTCCTGTGGCAGCAGCCCCCCCTCTATAATCTTTCTAATCATTTTACTCGTCCGAAGCCGCCTGTATGCGCAGGGCTTTCGAGCACGGTGCTCTTCTTGTGTTTCGGAGCAAGATGGGTGTGGCCTAGGCTGACCCTCAGCTTAGGCTACCCTCCCTGCTACCCCTCTCCTGTTCTAACTGCCTCCTCCAATGCTTCCAGTCCCCATTCGTCTTCTCTTCGGGCCCTTTCCGTCATCTGCTGTAGGTGCGCTCGGGGTAGAGCTACACTGGTGCTGGCTAGGAATTGTAGCAATGCTCTCGTAGCTTTGGGCTCTCCTAGGAGTCGTCCTTATGAATATTCTTCTGCAGTAGTGGGCCTCATGACTCCGTCTGTCTCTAGGTCTTTGTAGAGCCTGTTTCGTTGGTGTCGCTATTTCCGACATTCAAAGAGAAGATGTTGTGTTGTCTCCCTTGGTATACCACATCCTTCACAGGTTGCATCCTCCTGGACCCGGATCCGATGTAGGTATGCTCCTATAGCTGCATGTCCTGACTTCAGTTTAAAATAGCGGTTTGCTAGGTGCTTGGGAGTCATTGCAGTAGGACCCACTATTCTGAGGGTCACAATTTTTAGCCTCGCTAGTCATGTTGCACTGGAGACTATGCTTAGCTCGAAGCTATCAGTTTCGGGATTTGTTGAATAGGCGCGCTACATTTGCCGGGATCGAGAACAAGGACGTCGAAATCAAGAAGCTAAGGAAGTCTAACAGATCAAGAGCATTCTGCTTTTCGTATCTCTTCTTGTCCAAGATCTACTGCGATGTAGAAGACCTATCTATCAAGTGAGGTACGATGACAGTAAATGGGGTGCCAGATTATAGACGGTGGGTTGAATCAATACATAAACTGACTGAGAGGTCTATACGTTAATCGCGCGACGGAGGGTTATTTTCACCCATTTCTCGTACTTGGGTGGGTTATCACCAGCGAATCTCGGTTATTGTATGTTTTCATTTTTTTGTGCTCAAAGCGGCGCAGCATCATCATCATCTTTTTTTTTTTTTTTTTTTTTTTTTTT